TTTTCAGACATAATCTACTGTAAAAACTTTTATGGTATATCATGTACATTTCTTACACATCTTCTAAAACTAAAATTCACTAATCCTACAGAATTCATACACATCTCCTCATTTACTTGAAAGGCTTTCATTACACCTTATTGAGAAGACACACTTAACATTCAGGTTCTGCTCCAACACCACTCTCCTTTTGCCATGCAACGACATCCTGAACAACTGAATATGCCTTTTTTAAAGGGGTCTGGTTGTGCACCTACAGAGGAATTTAACTCAGATGAAGCATTCTGAGGAACTAGGGTACAACAAGGAGTGCTTAACTATTTTACATAACTGCCCACCTAGAACTCTGTCATTTTTCAGAAGCACTTTAAGTAGCCTTATGGCCACACAAAGAGTGCAGTCACGATCCTCACGGACTGAATTCAGTAGAGTGATTTTTACCAGTTTTATCCCTTAATTCTTTGAGAACATAGACGCATCCTTTTTAGAAGTTATTTCAAGTGCCAGTGCTGAGCAACATCATTTGTTTGACGCAAGCTGACTGCATGCCAAACACTGCAAAAACATGAACAAAGAATACACTACACACTTTAACAGTGGCTAAAACTGTGATCAAGTTGGATACCATTCTATCTGAAAGCTTACAAGAAAAGCGTGAAGACATACTAGTATTTCCAGGTATCAATACCTCAGTTATACTGCAACAGCATTGTTTTGAGAATATTGTTTTATTCAAGACAAGAAATATACAGTAAGATGTTAAATTAAGCAGTTCACTTGAAAGTATACCATATTCACTTTCAAAAGGGTAAAGTGTAAAATACCAGCTTGAAGCGTTTGCAAAATGAACAAAAGACATTTTTGAACTGAATAAAAAGGCTGAACATGTAACTCAATCGCTCAGTTTTCTAGCAACATATCTTTCATGCTTAAATTTCTTATGCAAACCCCAAAATATTTCCAAATAAAACAGGAGCGGAGCTGGATAAATGAGTCACTACACATTTTTGGGCACTACTGTATCCATTAAAACATACTGGGAGAAAGTTTTAAAATAAGACTGACAATTTAATTCACACAAGACTAAAACCTACAAGTCAAAGTCAAGGTATGGGTCTGCTTAAGTTCCTTATGTTAATAACAATATCAGCAAAAGGAAGTTGAATGACTTATTGTCATTTATCAGTGATACTTCTACCCCACTTATCAATCTGTGGAATAGGAAGATTCTTATTTTAAAGAAAATGATCTACACTGATCTAAATCCACAGGTACTTCGGTTTTAAAAACAGAAAAACGGAATTATTGGACTTAACCTATTTAAGAATGACAGCTAACAAAGCATTTAAAGTTTTTTTTCTTGTATACTTAAATTCTGAGCTGAAGACGGTTTAGAATTTAATACTGGCAGACATTTATTCTCTGCCCCCACGTAATTACTTCACAGCTCAGAAGGAAGTCTATTACTTTTTTGATAAACAGTGTATAACTGCACAAAAAATGATGGTACTATACTCAACTGATTTAGCAGCTTTAATCACTGGTGACCCACAGTAGCTAGCAGCACTTACAGACTGAGGTTTCAGTATCGAGTAGCTACCTCTTAGGCAAAAACTTATCATGATCTCAAAGTACCATTAGATAATCATCCTGATAAGTTCTCTTGTACTACAGATTACATACCCAGATGTATACAGCAAGGAGAACTAATGTGTGACTCCGAGAAGCTCAGTGATTGAACTAAGCATGGAAAGACCTTGCATGCTACTTTCACATCTTATTCACCAATCTACAGTACTGAGTATTACACAGATAGTGTCTGTTTGCAAGGAACAAATGACTCAATGGACTTCTGTTTGGATTTTGTTTCCTAAATTTCATTTCCCAATTTGTTTGGCCGATTAAGTAGTCAGATTTTCACAATCATACCTTCATACTTTACGACCAAAGCACACAAAAAAGAAAGTAAGGACAAACTGATAAGCTACCCAACCGGTAGTTACTTGCAGAGTATCTTAACACAGTGGAATTAAAGAACCCAGGTGTCATCAACACTGACAAGAACATCCCTTCACTAAAAGAAGCGCAAAATATCTTACTCTGATTCCTGTTCTTCTAATAAAGTTAATGTGATACCCATCAAGAAACATCTTTTGTTTGTTCAATGTGGGAGATTAAAATGGATTAATTAGTGTAGGGATGAAAAGACTCACATTAGTTAGCTGAAAAATCTCACACTATCTTTGACTAAATGGCAGCAAGTAAAAACCATATATTCTTATTTTGACGGGTTTACTCTTGACAGTTCATGCTGGAACCTGCTGAGAAAGAATCTGCATAGCATTTAACTAGTGACACAGACATTTCAGAAAGCTCACAACAGAACCTACTTTTTATATTGACTGATCCTATGAGCCTGGGCAATACTCCATAAATTTATACATCTTACAGAAACTACATCAACAGTAGTTTCTGTAAGTCAGTAAACAAACCTGTGTTGCTACCTTTCTTGCCAACTGTGTTGATAAGAATATTCCCTTTCTCTCTATTTGAGGCAGATTTGCCAAATGTAAGTTTCAGGTCTACTTCTCAAACACAGAAAGTCATTAAAGTGTTTACCCTTCTAATAGCACCATTTTCTTGCGTCCATACCTATCTTTATATGCCTCTTCCTCCCTGGATAACTGTTTCACTAAACTAATGGGGGGAAAATTTACACCAAATAGCAAAGCAATTCTTAAAGAATGTTTAGCATTTACTACTAGGGTGCCCTGTATGTGACCCAATGACTTCAGTTTTAATGAATATAAAACACTCAATTTAGTGTTTTTTCAGATGAAGAGAGAAAAGGAACTGAGTATTGAAAGGAAAGGGAACATGGAACAGTTTGTACAGAACCCTGGTCTCAAGAAGAGGAATACTTATTTCCCCCATCATAAGGAATCATTGGTCACACAACTATTGAAACAATTGTGAAAGTGTTAGGCAGTGAGTGGCAGGAATGCAAGAACTAATTTACTAAATGCCTGTATAGCTTGGGCAAAAATCTTAATATAAACATTACAACACTCAGCTATTAGAAAGTACATTAGTCCAGCTGTTCCAAATGAAGAACTTTATGCCAAAGTTATGAGCAAGAGAAAATTAAGCCCCGATTACCTGTACCTTAGCATTGCAGGCTGAATCTATGCAATGCCCAGAAGAAAATTTTTCTTATACTACTGTAAGATATTCAAAGGGCAGTAGTGGAACTACAAGTATTTTGTATCCATGAAAACACAATATTACTCCTTAAAAAAAGCTAATGAAAACATTTACTATACTTTAAAAACAACCATCTGAGCTCCTATAAGCACAGATATACAAAAGACTTCGGAACAACCTAATACTTCTCTTCCTATTCTTCCAACAAAGGCTGTTAACATTACAGATGCCTCCTATTACCAGATCTACTGTGGCCTCACAGAAGCCTTAGACAAGAACCAAATCCTTTTTCCCATCCACTCCTTTAATTGATTAGTCATTCCCCAGATCAGCATAAAGCAAACATCAGATTTTTCTTGCTCCTTTACACTGGAATGTAAAGGAAAAACATGGTTGTGTACTCATCCTTGGCAGACGTTGGTTCACATCCCAGCTGAATCTTTGAAACTGCACAAGATAACCAGCTATACAAGCGATAATTACTCATCCCTTTGGGAAGGGACAAAAACATGGAGCTGTAATCCTTTATCCACTCCCAAAGGGTAGAACTGAAACTCCAAAAGACCTGCCTTGCCTCCAGCTGCTGCTAATGGCGTAATAGGAATATTTAGAAGGTGGCTGTTGAGACCTCAGACCTGAAGAATTCTGTTTACCTGTAACTCAGTGTTCTCTGCTTTGAGATTATTAGTGAATCTCAAAAGGACGTAACATGAATTCTGTAGCATAATATTTCTTAAACTTCTATCACTGAAATAAAATGAGTACATACTGAAAAACACTGGAAAAGTTGAAGAAAGTTCTCTTACAACATATATCATCAGGGGGGCTTAACACAAATAATCTGGTTTTCTCCTCAATTTGATTTCTTATATTCTCAGAGAAAATACCATCAGCTTCTAGAAATTCCAAACTCTCACAGAACTAATGTTGTTCCATTCCAGTTAACTTACAAAATGCATAGGGGCCCAATAAAGAACATGAAAAAACACACTAAGTAGCTCATAGTAGCACTATCTAAGAAGTTTATCGATTTCATATTTAAGATATCCATATCTATAATCACATATATTTTAAGTATTCATCTTATTTTACCCATATTTCCCCTCTCTGCAGAGAGAATTGCATGCAAAATCCCAGTCCAATGAGTCGGTTAAAAATACCCATCTGAATCATACGTACATTCTGAAAACAGCTTTAAAGCCAACAGGGATACTATTAATACATATAACTAAGGAAACAGCCTCAGCTAAATTCTTCTATTAATCACCTTGCTGTTCCAGTTAGCTACAATTGCCACAAGGTTTTTCCTGACAGTCTCCTTTGCTGTTACATTTTCTTTTTTTTTTTTTTAAATAACTTAAGTACACTAGGTCCTGTTTTCTATCCCTTTTCCTAAATTTTTGGATTTTTTTTTAATGAAATATTTAAGCATACTAGCTACTACATTCCATCCCTTACGTTTCTGGAGACCTTTTATCAGGAAAAAGGCTTAATATAGTCCTTTGAATCTCAGGATGTAAAAAAAAAAACAACAAAAAAACTCGAGAGGTACATTTGCCCTGACTTACCTGTACAATTCTGTTTGCGTCTGAAATTCAGAATTTTATTTCACGGTTGTTCCCAAGAATACCATTTAATGATCACCACTTTGTTTTTCTAAACACTATAAAACTGAAGCCCTTACCCCTGACACAAAGCCTCCCAGACCAGTGACACTCGGTGTTCAACAGCAAGAAGGGCTTGAATAATTTAACAGAAAAGTAAAACCGGGAAGTCAGATAAATACGTAGGCCTACCTGCACGTGAACAAAAGTTTCTGTTAACGCTCCCCTGTGCACTACTCCTTCCCCCCGTGTCACAGCACGGCTCGCGGAGCCCTTTCCCTGAGCAGTATCTCTCCTACTTGACACGTGTCATTCGCCTATCGCTGCAGGACAGAGGCTTAGCCTTCCTCTTCCCCGCAGGCTCTTATCTTTAGCCTCTGACCGAACACAAACCTTCTCCCTTCCTCCCCGCTACAAGGCGGCGGCGAGGGGCCTACCCTGCCGCAAACACCAGCCGCGGCTGACTCGGGCCGCAGCTCCCTCCGCCCGGCTGCCATCGAGCACTTCGGTCCCTTCTTTCCCTTCCTTTCCCCCCCCCCTCCCCTCCCCTCCCCTCCCTTCCCTCGGACAGCCGGCAGCCAGGCCCTGGGACGGGGACAGACCTCGACCCCGGGGGCAGCCCAAGCCGCGGCCGGGCGCAGGCGCCGCCATCCCGCCGGGCCGGGCCTTCTCCCCTTCCCCCCCGCCTCCGCGCTACCCCCGGGCGCGGGCCCTCCCGCCCCCTCACAAAGCCGGGCCCTCCTCCTCTCCCTCCTCCGCACACAGAGCCGGGCCGGGCCGGGCCAGGCCTCCCCCCCGGCCCCAGGCCCCCCAGACGCCGCAGAGGCCGCCGCCGCCTCCCGCTGCCCGCCGTGCCCGCGGCCCCCCCGCCTCACTCACCTCTTTGGGGACGAGCTGGTTCTCCTCGCTGGGCACCATGGCCGGTGGCGCGGCGCGGCGCTGGGCCTGCAGCAGGCAGAGCCGAGCGTCGTCGCCGCCGTCGTCAGCAGCGGGAGGCGTGGGGATGCGGGCGGCTCATCCTCCTCCTCCTCCTCCTCCTCCTCCTCCTCCTCCGCCCCAGCCAGCGAGGGCAGCGCCGCGGCCCCCGCCCCCTCCGCCAGCGCCAATCAATGAGAAAATGGCCGACGGCGGCGCTCTCGCGAGAGCCACCCGGGCCTGCCCCAGGGGCGGTCATGGCCGCCCGCACCCCCTGGCGGAGCAGGAGGAGGAGCGAAAGAGATTAGGCCTGACTCTGCTAGTACGTGTGCCCTCTTCTTGGTGCCGAGAAGTTATTCGTGGAGTCATGCTGTGAGACCAAGTGTGTGTTCGCTTTAAGCAGTGTCAATCCAGGGATAATGGAACACTTTCTAAAGGAAAAAGAGGATATTTCTGTGGTATCAGTTAACTGGTGCTTTTTTTGTCTGTAGCAGGTCTAAATATATCTGGTTTTCACACTTAGGCACGTGAAAAGTCAAATATTAATCTCTAGAATAAATAAAATGTGCATTAAAAGAGAAATAATTATACTTTAATGTCTACTTGATTGTGAAATAGTTGAGGTGGAAAACAGTTGAGGTGGAAAAACTAATGAAGAAGACTGGTACGTGATAGTTGGACTTTTTTTGAGAAATACTTTATTCTCATTATTTTAGTGTCCTCTTGTGGAAACGTACAGAATTGATTTTTTTTTTTTTTTTTTTTTTTTTTTTTTTTTTTTGCAAAGAAGCTTTACATTTGGGGCTAATTTTTGAATCTTACTGTATTGGAGACTGATGGAATTTTGTTGTAAAAAACACAATTAAGTGACCTCTTTTCCCTTTTCATTTTTAGTCTGCAGTGTGTAACTTCTTGGCTTTCTTTCTGTCATCCTGCCTTCCGGAAGGTGAGCTAAGTAGCATGTTTTGCAGTCAATATGTAGTTGGGGACACTTAAAAAAATAATAATTAAAAAAAAAAAGCCCTTCAAAGAGATCATTTCTGACAATAGCGATATCAGTAGTTTTATTTTTATGTTAGAAGCGTGCTGTAATAGATGCTATGTTTCATAGTTTCCATGAATTCTGCTTCTGGAAATAAGTGCAAAAATCCCTTTGATGAAAAGTTACATTTAATAATTTTTCAATGTGTTTTTGTTTATATAACTTAATGGGGTCAAGTTATTTATACAGTAAAGGCCAGTAGGCCTTTTGGAGAGGAACTCTTGCCCTCTGGTTTTAAAACATGCAGCACCTTAAAGCCCCTCATCCTACTGAGACACTTGAGCACTACTGCAATGAAATCCAGTATCAGTATGGGAAGAATGTGAGTCCCTTGCTTTTATGGATACTTTGTTAGCACAGGGTTGCATAGACAGCATTAACCATTTAAAAGAGGGAAAACTATGTGATTTTTTTATAGGAAAGCAAGTATAGAATTAATGAACTCATCTTCTAGAGAAGAGGATTTTTTTTATTAATTCAGCTGTATTGCTGATTAAAATGATTTAACTTTCTTTTAAGGGGGATTCTTGCATGTATATTGATAGGAGAAAAGGTAGAATTGCAGAAAAAATATTATCAATGTTTGTAGGTATTTGGAGAAGCACAGCCTTTCTGGTGATCTTCTGTTGTCCAGCAGTATCCAAAGATCCATGAAATTAGCAAGCAGGTACTTGAGTTGAAAAGCCAGATCAGAGGCATAAACTTGAAATAGAAGGTGATAAAATCATCAGAGTACTGGGTGGCACCAGCAATGGTATTGGATCATCATCTGAATGTTGAGTTTACTGGGTTTTTTTTGGCATGTGTCTCTTTAAGGGACAAAAAATTCCAAAGCTTGAGGGATTCTTCTTTTTGCATTAGGTATTCAAAAGCTTTCAGAAATGGTATATTTGAAAGTTCTTTTTCTGAAGTGTTATGATTTTTTTTCCCTGCCCTTTGAGCTTAATAAGGGGCGAAGCCATGGGACTCAATGACTTTAAAATATATTGCTCTATTGGGATAATGAGATAGCAACCACAAATACATGTCTACTGGGTAAGAGTCAGGATTTCTTTTTTTTAAAGAAATGCTGTTAGATCCTCTTGCCAACCTTATACAAACATCTAATGTAGGATGTGTACATGAAACATCTTGAATGAAGTAATAATCTCTAGTTAATAATTAAATCTCCAGAAGCTCTTGTAATTTGTGCATGTTAGAGTGTTTAATCTCTTTACATGAGCCTAATTAAAGAGCAATATTCAGAACTCAGGTTTCATGAAGGGAATCTCCTAGTCCTTTATAAAGACTGATTTAGCATACCACAGGGTATTATTAACACACAAAAAAATCAATATATCGTACTAAAAAGCATGCTGGATTTGTGATTACAGGTAAATTTTTTTAGGCTACCAATTGTCAAACTATTGTTCAGAGATGCATTAATGAGAGTCACAAGTGCTGGAGTGTCAGATTTCAGCTGGTGACACTTCACTAGTTTTAGTCAATACAGACCTTATCACAGTAATGCATACATCATGTTTATGGAAATATAGTTACAAAAAATCAATACTAAATAGCAGGTCTTTATTATAAGTGATGGTGGACTTAAATTAGCCTGTGGGAATTGGCTACCTCCCACCTCCACAGCCTCTTCAAAGTTTATGCTTTAATCATTTCTCCTTCTCTGTAAGAATGCACATGCTCATGTCTCAACACTCAAGTCCAAGACTTGATAAGTAATGAAAGAAGTTTCAAAAATTAAATGGAGGGAGTATTGCTACCTTACTCTGATACATCTGGTGGTGTGCCAAAAATGCTGGGGGTGTAAAATATTAAGAAAACAAGCAGATGTTGGAATACAAACTGATGTTGTCTTTCCCCAGATAATGTTATCCTACCTTTTTCAAATAGAACGTCTATGTAAAGAGGATTGTGTAAATGATTATCTTTGGCATCTGGTCTGAAATGCTTCACGTTTGATTTTTCACATAGGCTGTCGGTGGAAGATCATTTCCTATTTCAGAGGTTGCTGGCCTTATTTGCAGTATTCTTGTGTTAAAAAATAAAAAAAGTCCCAACAACAACAAACTGAAGTTTTCAAATATTCACAAATTGCTAATGAATATCAGAATGACATAGATGTATGGGCTAGCACAAGAAATGTGGCCAATGTTGATACAGTGTTCTTTTAGACCTCTTCTGCAGTCTCAGCACTTTATGGAAAACTGGCTGAAAGCCTCTCCTCTTTTCAATCTTTGGCAAGTCTGCCTTTACTGATAGAAAGAGATGTGTGAAAGTTCAGGATATCAACCCAGCCATTAATTGCGCTGCTTGTTACTTGGCTGTTTGTGCCTTGAGCAACTGTTGCAGAACATGAAAGTTGTGAGGAATTTCTCTGAAAACCTTAGGGTATTATTTTGCCCACTGCCTGCCCAATCCAGTCCTTTCAATTAGAAAAAAATTAAATCATCCTTTGGATTGATGAGGGGAAAACAAGAAGGAGTTAAGGTGAACAAGTAGAATTAATGCAAGGTAAAGAAGACACAGTTACAGAATTCTGTACCTTTAAGTGCTTTTTGCTGGATTTTTATTTCTTGGATCTTAGCTCCCTAAATATGAAACAGGCAAGTAAAAGGCTAAAGACCAAATGGAGATATTTAAAAAAGGAACACTTGTTACTTTTAATTCTCTCGCAATTGTTGTTAGAAAGGGGGTTTTATATTCTAGCATTTTGGATTGTTTCTTGAATATTTTGAGGCTCAAGAGTGGGAGTCAAAGTACTTAAATATAAGGCATCTTTAATTTTCTGTGATCTGTAGTTTTCCACGTTGAAAGAACTGTATATACAGTTCTGGGAAACTGAAAAAAAAAATCTATTTCTACGAGTGGAGAGTGCTATGGAAAATGTAAGCCTTGAATGGGAGATATGCTATGGAAAAAGTGTACTTTGCCTTCAGAAAGACAGGTACTCTTGAGTCTAGTAGGTGGGTAGGCAAGCAGCTTTCTGAAATTAAACTTCACAACATTAAGAAAAAACACTCAGTTTTAAGTTGAATGATAAACACTGTGTTCTGCTGTTCTTAAATTGTGTATTCTGCTTTAATCTTTATGAGCATACATGTACTTTTCTGTTCTCTAACATTAGCTTGTGCCAAGATCTTCTTAATCAAAACCAGTAGAGAATTATTTTAATTATTAATCAGCAGCCAATATTCACGGATATTTTGTTAAATATTATTTTCTTACTTTGGTTTCAAGAGAGTTTTCACATATTAGCTTAGGATATTAGTTTTCTGTGATAGCATTAATCTTGTTTGTGAATTCTCACCTGGGTTCGAAACTGAAATGGCAGTTCTTAAGAGAAATAGAAATCCTGCACAGAATTTTGCAGGACCATGAATTCCTTCATTAATTTACATCAGCTTAACTTTTCAACATGTACTTAAAACTACAGGGTAGTTTTGAACACGAGTAGTCTGAACAAAACACAGTTCCAGGGGTTAGAGCTCTTCATGTACTTGTCAAAATGTTTCTGGTCTTACTGGGAGTAAAACATGCACTAGCAGGCTGATTTCCACTTTGTGGTGTGAGTCTGGAAACAGATGTGGGCTGGAATCATGGCATTTGAGGGAACCCAACAAATCTCACACTGACTTTATTGGCTTAGGCTCACGGCCAGGCTGCAACTTTTCTGTCTAAAATGTGTTCAGTAGCTGGGAAATCTGCAGTCTCTCTGTACGTGCAAGACAGTAGAGATTACTTCATATATTCTTTCGGGAATCTGGGCTGTTATGGTATCTAACCTCCCCCCCCTTCTCTATGGCTGGGGATGGCAGGGGGAAGGCATCTCCATGATCAGCAACATAGCAAAGGCTTATGTGTAGGAAAAGAAAGAGTTGCCTTGAACGCATACCATGCTGGTAATGTCAGTCACTGAAATGGTCCTGTTATGTCAGAGGTTCAGAAAGAGCTTAGAGTGACATGGGTGGTGTATTTTAAAACACTTATGCACATGAGGAGAGTTACCATGAGTGCAAAGGAAGCACTAAATAGGACAATGCAATGTGCAAAAATCAGAACAGCTTAGTTTCATATGGAGCTGCCCTCAGTGTAGACGCTCACAGTATTTGTAGTTGCCCTTGGGTCCAGGGGAGTTGAATAGTTCAGTTTTGCTTCAGGGGTTCCCAGTGACCATTTAGATTAATTCAGATGGCATTTAATATTACTTACTATTTAATATTACAAGTAATATTAATATTACTTGTTTTAACAAGTAATATTAAAACCTGTGGCTGGCTCTGTTGCCCTCCCAGCTCAGCCTCATCCTCATTTTGCAGTCAGCTGTCCTCTAAACATCTTTAGCTTTCTGGGGCTGTAAGGCACAGTCTGCTCTGGGGGTTGCTGAACTTCCTTGCATGAATTAATGTAGCTTTTTACCTTTGGCAACAGCAGAGGGAGCCGCCAGAGGTCTTGCATAGTATTTCAAATGTCAGCTGCCAGTATCGAGCAGCTGCCAGCACTGCATCTCTGGCAGGGGGAGTGTTAGTGTGGACACAGGGTGAGTCAGGCTGGGCAGGAACTTGTGTACACAGTACCCTGAGACTGGTAAAAATCTCCCAGCAAGTTGTCTCCTGTGTTGCTTGGGTCATATATGAGGAAATACTACTGGCTTTTGACTGAATCAGAATCATGGGTGTTTTGCATTCAGAGCTGAAAGTAAGTAGTTTGTCAGAATGTGGAGTCTACATCAATAAAGTTATCCTGTGGAATTAGTGAAATTAGAAGTGAAAGGTTAAAGCAAAGCAGTAGGTAGTGAGTCTTAAGAATGTAGTCTCTTAAAAACAATGTCATGTTTGCATGTATTTCAATTTTAATGTTTTTATTGACTTTTTCTTTTAAATGCATGCAATGCATCTGTTAGGTGGACTGAGTTAACATGGGAAAACAGTAAAAAAGAATTGTAACTGCTGCCCCTGTTTGTTGTCACTGCCTTTTTAAGAAGATGCCTTTGGAGAGCGGATGTGTTTCTTCAACATTTGGATCAAAACTGACTCTGAAATGTGTATGTTAATTTCAGTCTCCTAGTTGCTGCTAGCATGGGATATTAATTTCTTTCTGTACTGTTACTTCTTTGCAATGAATTGTGCCAACTCTTACAGGTTACATGCATAGATGCTTGCCTATCACCTGTGATTTAAGCCTTGTTTGTTAAGTGGGCCTGATAGATGTAAGCATATGTCCAGATAGAGACAAATTCCAGGTTGTTTGGATTCGGTTCAAAGCCATTCATGGGGCTTGGCTCTTCAGCAAAGGGTTATTTTACGTGGTGCTGTTAAAGGAAGAGGGTTCATTGGACTTTTTGTTTGTCTGGTTAGTGCAGTGGGGTGCATCTGTGGAATGCAGGGGTGTGTGAGTTACAAAGGTCTCTGCTACTATGGATACAAGATGCTGGATACTGCAGTATTTGCGACTTTTTTTTTTTTTTTTCTTACATAGTGAATCTATGACCGTCTTGGCACAGGAAATGTGCATCTTTCATTCCCTATGACTTTCCATGTATGCTGGTTTTGTACTCTTTAAGGTAACAAAGATTTATACTAAGATGCCCAAATCAGTTTTACAATACTAAAAGCTATGTAGAATTGAATTTGGATAGTACCAGTAATGGCAACATTTACTGGAAATCGAATTCCAAGTCTGCCGGTAGGAATGCTGTCTACTATGGCAAGAGTAAGTCAAAGCATGCATGAAGTTTTTGATGTCCTAGGTTTACCAAGTACGGGAGAACTTGCATTTTGTGAAGCCCACTTTCTATTCTGCATCCAAGACCTAAGACGTATCGTGAATTTAGGAATTTTTTTTTTGTCTAGGAGCATTTTCTGAAATGGATAAAGATCATCAGAAGGTTATCTCATCAAAACTGCCCAAGTTATAAATAAAGATAATAGGATAATACTAATTTCTTTTACTTTTTTTCTTCCTGACTGCTGACTTCTAGGAAAAATAAAGGCCTGACCGTTACATGCTTTTTTCTGATAATACCCCGACCATTCTTTTTTCTGTTCTTCCTTATTTTATTGCTGCTACTTCAGCCTCTTCCTGTGCTTGCTAGTCCTGGATTTTTCCAAAGACAGGCTGAAACTATAATGACCTGGTTTTTGTTAATCTTCTCTTTGTATTCTCATGTTATTTATTTTAATGTCTTTGAATTTATTCAGAATGACTAATATACTACATGTTTCAGGAATGAAGCGGTTAATTAATGAAGCTTTTACTACCTCATAAAAACATTCACATTCTTGGCAGCCTTGGGATGGTAGTTATTGCCTGCAATCACAAAGGCTTGGTTGCCACATTTCTATAGAGCTAAAGTAGATTAAATGACCTTTAGAGTCCGTTTGTATGTTCCTCAGCAGTAACAGCAATTTTACAGTGCCTCTTTTGAAAATTGACATGGCAACTCTTAGTAAATAATCAAAATCTTCTACGCTAAAATGAACAAAAATGTTCACCGAAAAATGTTTTGAAGCTGTTTTCGTGATTTAATATTTTTAAGTAAGAAATTCATAGCATAAGATAATTCTCAAAGCCAGACTGCTAGTTAGATTTTTGTTCTTTGGTTACTCAGGCCATGGCTTTTCCTTAGGATGAAGTAATGAGCTGCTTTGTTTTAATTTCAGGAAGTGGAAGGAATGAAAGCAGTAACAATTTAAGCAGGATGGATTTTTTCATCTCCAACAAAAGATGAATTTTGGGAAACTTCAGAGTAATTACTAGTCACTTTTGATGTTGTGCTGGCTATTTCAAATATGTCATGTGCCTGAGAATAATGCCATTCTTTTTTTTTTTTTCTAGGCAATGTTAAGTTGTAAAGCAGAAGTTATGTAAGATGTCACTTCAACCACAGAGTTAGTTTGGTACTGGCATACAGTATGAAGAAGTCTTGTTAAAACTGTAATACCTGTGGGACATTCACAGGCAGAACTAAAGAGCTAGACATTAAGTAAAACAGAAGACAGCATTTCTTATACAATACTTACTTTAGCTGTATAAAGTCTGGAGCTGTGAGAAGTATGATTTCAAATATGTGGTTATGTTGTTAGGTCATGTTCTTTCCCTAAGTGTCATTGTTAAATACTTAGAGTGTTTCATGTATCTGAGTGTTGCTCCAGCCTTATATCTTCTAAGTAGATGAGATGTGTAGTTTTGAACTATCCATTTACATTCCATTAGCTATCTTGCATTTTCTTACATTTGGGGTGGGGAAGGGAATACTTTTACTTACACACTTCTTTTTAATGAAGTTATCTAGTACTTCTGAGCAAACATTTTGTCATAGCCGAAGTATTTGAACTTAGATTTGTATCAGGTATGCTAGTCCTGAGGCAGGGTAGAGATGAATGCTGCCATTTTGAACACAGAGAAGGAAACCTTTATTTTTTAAAGACTGAAAGTAGGTCGGGCAATCTTTTCTATTGCAAACTAGATGTATGTATGGAATAAAAGAAGTTAGATGTTCGAATCCTCCAGTGAAATATCCTCGTGTCCTTTTGCTTCTTTAAATTTATAACATACCTTTGTCTTGTAAGAATAAACAAACCACCTTATGACTTGAATGACTTAATGACCTTTTCTTGACAGCAGATTTAGACCCTCCTTTATCACTATCCAAAGAGGTTCAGTGTGAGTAGATTAACATCTCTACGCACAGAGGCTATTTCTATTTTAATACTATGCTCTTAACATCATGTTAGCAAGGTTTCCTTGTTCGTAATGAACATTGTAGCATTATCAGAAAATCCATTTCCATTATCATGGAAAGAATATTTCAAATTTCAGGTATGAGAACAGCAATTCATAGCTGTATATGAACACTGGAATTACAGTGTGTGATATAATTCACAATGTTTTAAATACTGCATTTTCATTTTAACTTAATGGCTTTCCTCTTTTCTGAACTTCCCCAGTTCAAGCAAGAAGAAGGAATTAAATTTATTTATTTTATGTAAATTTGAAGCTTAGCTTGATGATAGAGAACTGTACAGAAAATGGCAAAATGAAAAGCAAATACAAAAAGTTTGCAAAAGAATGGGAGCAATGCATGTGAGCAAAAACCCTTCTGTTCATGACATTGATCATAAAACAAACATCTTTAAAAGGTATAGACTACCTAATTTTTCTTTTGTTTCAGTATGTAAAGAAATTTTTGGAAGATACAAAACACTTCTATTTTATAGGAGAGAAGCTAGAAGCAATAAGGCTTGGTACTGAAGTAGATAATGTGATAATCAAGACAGCTTTTGATAAGAAAATCTTATAAAAATGCCAAAACATTAATGTTAAATTGAAGCAAAGCCACTTCTGCTGCATTTCTTCATCACAATAGTCTTTTTGCTGAGAAAATTGAACGTAATGTACTGAATCGCATAGGCAGCTCTGGGTGTCAGACACCTTGCAAGCAGGAGGTTCTTAATTCTGCTGTGAGCTGTTTTGGTGCTGGAATCAGAGTGAGTTTTGACAAGAACAGGAAATTGCATAAGGATGTCTCAGGCTGTTTACTAGTAGCTAAATGCCACTGGAATAAGTATCTATACTGGCAGTACAGAGTCTCTTTTGTCATCTAGTCTAGCAACACTGTAAATGAAAACTTAAGGCCTGAGACATGAATTCAGAGAGGGAAGCCTAAGGGATAAGGGAGCTTCTAATATCAACTTGGAAACTGAAACAATATGCAGTAGTTATGTTCACAGATAAAAGCTTTCTAAATCCAGTAGTCCTTTCTGCAAGTATTGCCCTATGATCAGTATTTCCATAGACAAAGAAATGTTGAAATCCTCGTCCCACTGCACCCCTCAAAAAAACCTTCCCACTTCTCCTCTCTAATGCTGTATAGGTATTTTACAGTTTTCTTGGGGGTCTTTGGACAGAGAAACCTGTGATGAAAAGAGCCAGTTGTCTCAGCATAATATGACGTCAAGATGGAGATAAGAAAAGTTTCTCAGCATGCGTGTATGTCATACAGATAGAGCACTTTTTCAGTTCTGGCCTTAGTCTCTTCTTTATTAGGTAGGGAAATATTGCAGACTGCCTTGAACAGTAACTAAACCTCTGTGTGTCTTGCAGAATTAGAACAAGTGATGATAACACAGGAGTGCTTTCTGCATTAGAACCTACTGGTGATGGTTTTGCATTTGTTCAAGGCATATGTAAACAGTTGGATCCTCTAAACAGCGTCTTAGTGCAGGGTTAATGTTTTCCCAGGAAAGGGAAAACAGTGTTTTCACCAAGTCAGATATTTAATGTCCTAAACTACATTCGTATGCTGCTTAATTCACCTTGTTTCTTTACAGTGAAAGCTGGTTCAGATGCTGAGTTTTCCAGAACACACGCATGAATCCAGTGCCAGCAATCAGGAAGAAAAAACACACCAGGGAATTAATAAGACAAAAACATCCTTGTTGTTTCACTGCTGAGCAAACTAAAAGGAATGTATTTACATGCATTTACTGGAGGTTAAGACTAACTTGTTATTTAAGTATACTAGAATGTAGCGAGTGGGTTGGAAAGAAATATGCTGCTATATTGAACTTAGTACAGTTCTAACAGATAAAGGATGCTTGATTACCTCACTGAGATCTCTATTATCCACAAGCCTTCTGCACATCTCTGTGCTATATTCTGTCTGCATCATCAGCCAGTTAAGAGGTGTTATTAAG